TCTCTCTCTCTCTCTCTCTCTCTCTCTCTCTCTCTCTCTCTCTCTCTCACACACACACACACACACACACACGAGCTATTCCTTTTTTGTGGTCGGATAATTTATTGGATGTTCTTTATTCATACATGGCCTAATTCTTTGCCCTGCTGTAGGGCATGGGCTATATCTTGATGAAGGCATGGTTGTGGGTAGCCGTGTATTTTTTGCGCGGGAATCTTTGGGTAGCCGTGTATTACATGGTCCGCGTATCGTCGCGAGGAGGCTCAGAGAGTCTTTGCTGTTGGTGTCACTCCCACGGGCTGCCCTTTTGGAGCACATGGAAGATGGCGGTGCTTCCATGGTGTTTTAAGCAGTAGTGCTCCTTGTGTCACGTGGAGATTCTGTGATTATATGCTTGGAGTTCTGGCCACAGTGTCTTGGCGAGGAGGCTCAGAGAGTGTTTGCCGTGGGTGCCATTCCCATGGGCTGCTCTTTCAGAGCACATGGAAGAAACGGGGACTTCACTCCAAAGGCTAGACAGCAGATGGGGACTGTTTAGCCATGGAGTGATAGAGAGAGTGGTGGCGAGAGTGTGTTGTTTGGGAGGAATAGGAGTGCCAGTGCTGCTGTGCTTGTGGGGTGACTCGGAGGGCTCTCTAAGTTTTTCCGGACTATGAGGCCTCTGGTCGGTGCTTTCTTGCTGGTGGAGCCTTCTGTGTTAGGTATGTTGTCTTCTGCCCTTTACCTTTGTTTTTATGGATTGTAAGAAATACTAAAAAACAATATACTTATATAAAGTTATATTTGTGCAAGTGTGCCGCTTCGGCGGCAGACGGGTGTGTGGGCACTCCCGCTCAACCACACAAACGTGAGGAACCTTGCACCTTCTATTATATTGCTTATCTATACTTTTTTTGTTTTATGGATGACTTGTAATGGTATGAGGATGCAGTGAGAGAGAGAGTTTGGGGAATAACACACACACACACACACACACATGCACACACACACACACGCACACACACACACAAACCTCCTGATGAGTCGGTGAAAGTCCAACGAAACAGTCTCTTTGGCACAGTCATGCTTTTTTTGAGTGTATAGCGAATATGACAACACGCACACACATACACACACACGCACACACACAATCCACCTCTCTCTCTCTCTCTCTCTCTCTCTCTCTCTCTCTCTCTCTCTCTCTCTCTCTCTCTCTCTCTCT